TGTCCATCAGGGTGCAGGGAAGCAGGCTGGCTCCCTGCCCCTCCATGATCCCCCCCTGGAGAAGTTGGGGCGGTGGTTGCTGCCCTGGGGACATCTCGCCTCAGTGGAGCAGTGCAGAGCTGCTGGCACCCAAACCCCGTGTCCCAGCAATGCTCCCGGCAGCACACCACCAGCCGCTCCGCGCCCTAGCATTGCGGGGGGCAGTCGCTTTGCTCTCCAAAACCTAAATAGTGAGAAAAATACTGGTAAAACCCAAGGAGCGTGGAGAGGGTTAATGGTGCGAGTGGAGTGAAGAGCACAGCTGCTGGGTCTGGGTGCCAGGGCTGGCACTGCCAGGCGCGGGGTCACCGTCTCCCCCGGCTGGCACCATCAGTCCCGGGGCAGTGGGGGGCCAGCCAAACTGCGGCGCTCGGCGGGGGCTGCTGGGGCAAGCTGAGCCCATTTCTTTTCTTTTTCAGGTCAAACTCCAGGAATCCCTGGCACATCTTTTGAAGGAAGTGGAGGACGTGAAGAAGCGTGAGTCAGTGGAAAGGATGAAAACCCAGGAGTGCAAGGCAGGTGCCTGGCCTAATTAGTAAAGAATGAGCTTCAGAGATATCAGCAATTAAAAAAAAACAACTCTGAATGTTCTTGTCTGGGGCCATGAATTTGGCATAGTCTTCAGGATGAGACATGTCCCCATGTTCTGCTGTCATACATAGGACCAATGCTGAAAGCCAGGCTCAGTAACCATGTGCAGCTCTATAAGAAATTAAAAAGGTTTGCAAAGAAATGCTTTGCAAAGAGCAGCACCCTAACTTCCCCAAAATCACGAGGGCTTGTGTGCCGGTTAAACAAATGAGACACTGGGTATTTTTTATTTGCCTTTTGTTTGACAACATGTGCTTGAGTTACAAGCCAGACGTGAGCCATATGGTGAGTTCTGCTCCACAGCAATAGGAACTAGAAGTGTTTTCATTAAGAAAAAGAAAAGCTGAATTATTGCACCTCTGCCCGACTCCAGGCAGTCCCAGGGAGAGTAGATGCCAGCAAAACAGCTGCATTTCATGTCCCTCCAGGGTTGAAGATGGGAAGTGAAAGTAGCCAGAAAGTAAAAGTAACTGCAGATAAGGAAACAAAACTGCTGGACCGAGTTATCCAGCCATGAGCTAGAGCTGGTGATTAATCAGCTTTAACAGGGAAAACAGGTTTCTCCGGACTCCCCTAGTTATTTTCAGAGCTCCTCTGCCTGCTGGTTGCGGCCTGTCCAAGCGGGTGGTGGGTTTTTGGGCTGCCTCTGTGTGCCCTCGGGGCTGGGATGGGGCTGGGGATGGAGGTTGTGAAAGATCCGTGTCACTCTCCCACCGCCCGCCTGGGTCAGGGCTCCAGGGCCGCGGCTCAGCTGCCTCTGGCTTCATCCCGGCCCGGCAGCTGGCTACGCATTTTCAGTAAAAAGGAAAAAATGTCCCATGCAAGTGGTGTGGGGAAGTGGCAGTGACTGTCCTGGCTTGTCAAGCCTTTGTGACTCAGGTCCAAGAAATCACGTGCTTGGACAGAAAAATAAATGCAGTTCAGTTTCCTTTTGTTTATCTTCTGCGTTTTGAGGTTTCATGGTCCTAGATAACCATGTTTTCCTGATGCTTCAGGTTTCGAGCAAAGTGCCGATCTTTAGGGCTCAGGTGAAAAACCCTAAGGCACTGGCAGAACCTGCCTGTTGCTGCCTCCTCGCCCTGGGCTGTAGTGAGACAGGGAGTCCTCCCTGGCTCCCCCTTTCCAACCCTCCCCAGCCCCAGGGCTTCTGCCTCCTCTTGCCCTTTGCGGTGGGTTTTTCCAGACATGGAGCATTTCCTCCGGGCTGCCCAAGCAGCAGGTTAGCCTGGATGCAGCTAGAGGGGTGAGTTGTACCACATCTAATAAAACCCTACCCCAAGACCTGGTGGCATCTCCTTGCAGCCCAGCAGCCCCCCCAGTCCCCTGTGTTGCACTGAGACATCATTAGACATCTGAGGTCCAGCTGAGCAGAAATGCCCTGGGCAAAGTCCTACTGCTGGTAAACTGAGGATGTCGAGTGGGAACTTAGGCGAGGTGAAAGCACAGCAGTTAGCCTCTGGCTGTTTTTTTAAATAAATGCACATATCAAAAAAATGCGGTGGTTTCCCAGGGCCAGATGCCAGGCATGGATGCCAGAGCATCCGGCTTCATCTCAGCTGCCTGGCTAACGCTGCCTCTCTTCACCCCATGTATCTTCTTATCGCAAGGAGACAGTGAAGAAAAAGCGGGAGAGAATTGTGAGTGAGTTCGGGAAGCTGCATCGGCTACTGGCTGATGAGGAGAAGCTGCTGCTCCAGAAGCTGGAGGAGGAGGAGAAGCGGATTCTGCTGATGATCAATGAAAACCTGGCCAGGCTGGTGGAGCAGAAGTGCTTGCTGGAGGAGCTGATCCTGGAGATAAAGGAGAAGACCCAGCAGCCGGCGGATGGGCTGCTTAAGGTCAGGCTATGCCACAGCCCCACTAACCCAGCCCTGGTGCCTTTGCCGTCTGAGTGGGTGGCCGGGGCCAGGCTGGCTGGTTGGCACAAGGCTCTGGAGCCCCACACCCAGAATGGTTTTTCTCTTCTCCTTTTAGGACCTGAAAAGCATCCTGAGCAGGTAGGTACCTGTGCTCATTCCTCCTACTGTCCTGGTTGCCTCCAGGCTCTGAGATGTTCGTGTCTGCTCCATGCCAGCCCCCTGTCCCGGGGCTGACAAAGGAGGGACTGAGACCAGCAGGGGCTGGAGAAGAGACTCCACCCTCTTCTTCCAGGGCTCCATAAACAAGGTCTTGGCCTGGCCTTGTGGTGTGTGAGATGTGTCTCCTCCTAAGGGACATGCTGCCTGGCTGGCCTTCCTCCTTCCTTCCCAGGGACTGGCACTGCCGCTCCCTGCATCGTTTAGCTCTGGTCCCATCGGGTTTGCCGATAATCAAGTGGTTATCCCTAGTGCTCTTCATAGCCGACAAGCTCAATCCCTTGAGGTGCATCTGTGCAGCCAACAGAAAGGCATTAAGCCCCCCCAAGCAGGACAGTGGCCGTGCTGTGGGCTCTGGATACAGCCCAAGGGTTTCACTCTCCTTTCAGGTGCGAGGGGGTAAAGTTCCAGCCCCCCAAGTCTGTGTCTGTGATCCTGAAGGAAAACTACAGCATCCCCGAGCACTGCCTGGGCATGAGGGACATGCTGAAGAAGTTCAAAGGTAAGGGGGCTGCTGCTTTTCTGCCAGCTCCTGGCACATTTGGGCTCTGGTTACCTCCCCCAAACCCTGGGACACAGGGAGGTTTTTTCATCAAGCTTTGTCCAGCTGGTCCCAGTTTGATAGGGATGAGTTCAGGCTGGTTCTGTTCTTGGATGGGTTGTGAGGTCACCCTGAAGCCTAGGCGGTCACTCAGGAGTTTCAGGCTCTCTGTTGCCCGTGAACTCTTGCTTTCTCTGTTGGCTGTTTCTGAAGCTGTGCCGGGGGCTATGGAGCTGCCCTCATTCTGTTCCTGCTCTGCAGCCGAATATTTTGCTGTGGTTTATAGTTAGCATGATTTTATGTATTGCACTTCCTCACTGCTGGAGAGAGCCGGGAGTTGTGCAAAACTACAGGCAGAGGCAAATAAATGTAGGAGGTAGGAAGAGCCCAGCATCTGGGTTGCAGACACCCGCTCATGTCTGCAGCTGCAGACCCCTTAAGCACTGTCTGTCCTTCCACCCTTCTCTCTGTCCAGTGGATGTGACTCTGGACCCCGAGACAGCGCACCCTGAGCTCACCCTGTCCGAGGACCACAAGAGCGTGCGGCGTGGGGGCAAGAAGCTGTTTCTGTCCCTCTTCGAGAACCCAAAGAGGTTCAGCACTGCTCCGGTCGTGTTGGGGAGTCAGGTCTTCTTCTCTGGCCGCTGCTACTGGGAGGTGCAGGTGGGAGACAAGCCCGAGTGGGGCTTGGGCCTGTGCCGGGAGTCTGCCAGCCGGAAAGGCAACGTCCTCTTCTCCCCAAACAATGGCTACTGGGTGCTGCAGCTGCAAAATGGGGGCAACTACGAGGCCCTCACCTCGCCCGTCTCCCCACTGACCCTGAGTGTGAGACCCCGGCGCATTGGGATCTTCCTGGACTACGAGGCAGGAGAAATCTCCTTCTACAACATGAGCGACCGCTCCCACATTTACACCTTCACTGACAAGTTTTCAGGGAATCTCCGGCCTCTCTTTTTCCTGGGTGCCTTTTTGGGGGGCAGAAATGCAGAGCCCTTGGTGATCTCCTGGGTCAGGGATACGCAGGGGACCGGGTGCATCGTCCTGTGACAGGGGCTGCCCTGGCTTCTCACTGGCGGGCAGAGACCTGGGAGCCCAACTGGCTCCTCCTGTGTGGAGGGGTGATGGTGGGGCAGCACCGGGGAAATACCTGTGTGCCTTGGTGAGCATCCTGGCAGGGTCCCCACGTGCTCCTGGCTGCTGGGGGTGACCCACCAAGCATGACACCCTCCCCATGCCATGGCCGTGCTGGGAAGGGCGCTTTGCAGTGGGATGTGCCATAACCTGCAGTGCCATCGACGGGCATGGGGGACCCCGCTGACCACCACTGCCTTGCTGCTCATCTCACAGGCTGCTGGAGAAGGGCGCGCGCCCAGCCTGCTGTGTAGTGCTGATTGTGGTGTGAATTGTACTGGAAGAAGGCAATAAAGGGTTGATTTTGGGAGCCTCATGAAGTTAGCAGTGTGGTTTTGTGGTGCACCCATCCCTGCTCATTAGCCCCAGCTAATCCCCAACATCTCGGAGGGCAAAGGGTGCTGCTGGACCTGGTTGGTCCTCGTGGCCCAGAGAGGGTCCTTGAGAGGTCCTGCTGTGGCACCAGTGGGACACAGCAGCAAGCCGGACACCCGCCAGGCACAGCTGCCTGTGTAGTTGGCCATGCTTCATCCCTGCAGCACTGGGGCCTGGGCTGAAGGCAAGGGGACATCTGTATGGGTCTGGGTGCTGCACTGCCTGGTGGCTCCTGGGCTGCTCTTTCTTGCCTCTGGAAGGGAGATGACCTCCAGCCTGGTAGCTCCAGCCTGTCCACCTCCCCTCACAAGCCCCGTGCGTGGGAAATCTCCAAGCATGGGAAGCAGTGCATTGCCCACCCCAGAATGGGGGCACTTTGGGGGCTGCAAAACCCAGGGAAAGAAAAATAACCCAGCCTCCACTGATGTCTCCAAAGGTCACCTTTGGTTTCTCCATTCCCTGGGACATCCCTTCTCCTGTAGGCTGTATTGCTGACCCAGCCTCTTCCCTCAAGCAGTCTGGCACCATGCTGCTGGAGGAAAAGCTCTCAGGTCCTTAAGCTCAGCTGTGGCATCAGCCAGTCCTACTCACCCAAAAAGAAGTGCCTGTGGTCCACAGGGCCACGAGGCAAGAGATACTGCCCTGGGGGCAGACAGGCTGGAGGCAATGCCAGCAGCCATGGACTGCCAGCTGGATTGGCTGTGGAATGTGCCCTTCAGACAGAAATAATGAAGCTGCTTTATTTAAAGATCGAATCAATTAAACTAAAATGAGATTTGATAAAGGACGTTCTTAAATGCTCA